CACAGGCTAGAGACCATTGCCAAAGCTGCTGCTTATATATGGGAAGCAGACCACATCCCTAAAGCAGCTACTCAGCTGCTTGTGGTAGATCCCACCATAGAGTTGATTGCCAGTCTCATCATGGGGAATAACTACCACTAGCTGCCCAGCCACTCAACCAGGCCAAGCCAGGTTGACATACAACTACCACAGTTGCTATGAATCAGAATAGACTCAGTGACAGTGGTTGGTTGTTTTTTTTTTCCCCCTCATGGCTCTGGACAATTAATGACTTAATATGAAATCAGGAGGCATTTATTATCACTGTTAATTCACTGAGTGTATGACTGGCACTTAATTTACATCCTCACAGGGACTACTCAGCCTGGACTTGGTAATTCTTGAAACAATATTTTATGCAGCTGGGGACTTTCACATACGTTATGTAATCCACTCTTGTACGAGTCTTTGAGGTAGATTATTCCCATCTTGTCGGTGTTATTAGGTGCTGTCGAGTCTTCTCAGATTCACCGTGACCCTGTGTACAACAGAATGAAGTATTGCCTAGTCTGTACCATCCTCATAATCCCTGCTACACTTGAGCCCATGGTTGCAGCCACTGTGTGAATCCATCTCATTGAGGGTCTTCCCCTTTTCTGCTGATCCTCTACTTTACCAAGCGTGACATCTTTCTCCAGGGACCAGTCCCTTCTGACACCATGACCCAAGTAGGTGAGAGGCAGTCTGGCCATTCTCGCTTCTAAGGAGCATTTGGACTGCACTTCTTCCAGGACAGATTTGGAAGGGAATGGCCTCAGGTTGTGCTGTTAGTAAGTAGCAGAGTTGCAACTCAAATCTTTGCATTTCTGACTCCAGGCTTCAAGTGCTCTTTCCTGACAAGTGTGACTCGCCTAACTGTGCTTTGCAGCTGAAAGCACACATGTTGTAGGAAACAAATACCCCCCCACTCTCAGTGACTGTGTGTGTTTTCTGCCTGTACAGTCAGCCCCAGCAAGGAGATCAAGATCGTGTCTGCGGTGAGGAGGAGCAGTATGAGCAGCTG